CCTGTTCTCACTGTTATAAGTCCCATAGAAGGACCAAAGTATACATCTGTAATGTATATGCAGAGTGCCTAGGTCAGTCCCATGCAGGCTTCCTGGTTGTCAGTTCAGTCTCTGTGAGCTCCTATGAGCCCAGATTAGTTGATTCTGCAAACCCGTGGTGTTCTTGACCCCTCTGGCTCCTACACTCCTTTCTCCTCCTCCTCTGCAGGATTCCCAAACTCTGGCTAATGTTTGACTGTGGGTCTTTGCATCTGCCTCCATCAGTTGCTGGATGATGCCTCTCTGATAACAGCTGGGCCAGGCACCAGTCTGATCACAGGAGATGGCCAGTTCAAGCCACTTCTCCACTATTGCTAGGAGTCTAAGCTTGGGTCCCCTGCAGAGGCCTTTTTTCTAGAGGTGAAACCAGAACTTTGTTATCAGAAGACGGAGTATAAATGTTTTGCAGACACTTTCCTCTCGTGTGTTTGAGACAGGGTCTAGCTGTGTAGCCCAGGCTGCCTTTGACTCACAATTCTCCTGCGTTAGTGACCTGACTGCTGGGATTTCAGATGTTCACCTCCATCCCTGGTTTAACTGTGGTGTGTGTGTGTGTGCCCATGTCAGCGTGGTGGGGCACGCCCCAGCATGAGTGTGGAGGTTGGAGGAGAACCTGGGTTTTCATCTTCCATACTGTTTGAACAGGGATTCTATTATTGGTCACACCAGGCTAGCTGGTCTGAAGGCTTCTGGGATTTTCCAGTCTTCAGGTCAGGTCAGGAGTCCTGGCATGACAGATGTGTTCCTGCATCTAGATTCCACAGGGTGCTGGGGATTTGAACTCAGATCCTCGTGTAAGCATGGCAAGCGCTTTATTCACTGAGCCATCCGTCCTACCCAAGTGCCCTTTAAAGCTTCCACACTTACACAAAAGGCGGAAACTCCCATGTGACATCTCACTGAGAGCTCGTAGTCTCCCATCCTGCAACTCTGCTCGGGCTTCTAACACTAAATTGCTGACTAAAGGCTGTGTTAAATGGGTATCTGATACTTTGTCATGGTGCTGTTGATACATTTGACCTGGACAATTTTTATACAGGTTCTGATTTCCCTATGGTAATGCCTTCTGTGAACAGACTCCAGGTCTTGTGGTGATGGGTCCCAGACCTGATTCCAGCCTTTGTTATACCAAACAAGGCTACTACGAACAGCAACATGCCTCTTGTGTCCATGTGGGCATGTGTGCTGATGTGCACCAATAGAAACGCTGGACCATGGGGTCATTGGGTGTGACTGAGAGTATTCAGGGCTTTGCATGAGAGTTCTGGTTGCTCCACACAGCCCACTGGCAATTGTCACTGTCAACTGTGGTCATCCTGTTAGGTGTGCAGTGGCATTTCATCTGTAGATATTGTGTATTTGTACCATATCATTCGTATATGACAGGGAGAATTTGGGGGAGTTTATTAGCCACTTAACTACTGTCTTGTGAAATACCTACATGCTAGCTAAACTTTTGACGGTTTCCGGTTTGGTGATCCTGTTCTTGATGTATACACGGAGTGGGATCATCTGGAGACTTGGAGACTGTCAGTGTGTCAGATGCTCACCTCCCACTTGGAGCAGTCGCACTGATGTCCTTTATTGAGCAGAGTTTTTCATTTTAATACTTCATACAGTTATGGGACTTTTTGTGTCCTGAGGCTTTTTCCCCCATTCTTCAAGGTCAGGGAGGGCTTGGTAAGTTTGTTTTCAAAGCAGCCGCCACCTGCATCCATCTGGAATTGAATTTTGCTTATGATGAGGCCGAGGGTCAATGCATTTTCCATATGGATATAGAAGCGGCCTGCCCGATCTGCTGGGAAGAGCAGTCTGGCTTCTGGTGTGCCATGTCACCATGGTCATGACAGAGCGAATCTGTTTCTGATGTGTGTGTCTGCTTCTGGGGAGAGTGGCGTAACTGTACTGGCTGCAGGAAATTCCAGAGTTTATGAGGCCTCAGAAAACCTGGTGCACTGTGGGTGATGCTGTCTGAGCCCAGCTTGGGCCTGGCTGGGCGTATCCCTTTTTCTGTGCTGTCTGTACTGTGAGCTTGGGCTTACTGTGGGCTCTTAGGCCAGGTTATCAGGAAACTGAATTTGTGCTGTGGGTTCCTTCCTGGAAAGTCTTTTGCCTAACAGAGTGCCCACAGAGCCTCCTGGGTTATAGGTGGAACACAGCCTGAGCTGAGCCCCAAGGGAATGGCAGCTTTGCTTTCTAGGTGTGTCTGGGTCTGGTAGATGGCTCCCCACTGCCCTACTCATCTCAGCAGGAGTTGGGCTCAGCCTCCCACTGTGATACTAGTGAAAACTTTATGGAGATTCTCAAGTCCAGGAACAGGGAGGGACCTGGGGGCTTGAAGAATTCTGGGTGGACGCACAGAGTGAAGAACAGAGGAATGGTTCTGTCACATGGGGTCACCAGCCTGCTGCGGGGAGACAGTGTGCCTGAGAGGGTCAGGTCAGAGAGGATGGTGGGGCGTGGGCTCCAGTGAGAGTCTGCCAGGAGTTTGGGGTGACCTTGAGGGAACTCTGCCTGCAGGTCCCTGAAAGATCTGCTGGAATCCTGAAACACTGCCTTGTTTGAAAACAGGGTCTTCCTAAGATTGGCAGGTTGATAGGGGATCATTCTGTGAGGCCTAATTGGTTAAGACCTGAGAAAGAGAAACACGGAGAAGTGAGCCATGTGACAAAAGATGCAAGGCTGTGGCTGCTGCCAGGGACACTGCGGCTTAGAAAGCGAGACCAGGACTATTTCCCCCACAGTTCAGAGGAGCAAAGCCACATCGGTGCCTTGATTTGGGTCGCCAGCCCTCAGAGCTCTGCAACAGGAAGTCTGTGGACAGGGCTGGTCAGTGCCCCTGCCTGCTGTGCCCTGCCCTCCCCACATTTCTTGTCTGGTTCCTTGCTGAGCATTGAAGCCGCACTGTAGGGGCTGAGGGTGACTCCATCTAAACAATCCCAGCTCCGGCCTTCTCTTTCTCTCCCTCAGCTAATCTGTGACCCAGGGTGAGACAGTGTATCCCGGAGATCTACCCCTTACGCTCATGCCCAGTCAAGTGACGGATTGTTCCAGCTTTGCCTCATTTGCTCCAACACTATTATCCTGGTTTAATTTTTTTTCTGGTTCATCACAGCAATGGCTGGTTTCTTACACTGACCCAGGCGGGTCCTTTGCAATGTTACTTTATGATTCTTTCCTTTGATGGAGCCAGGCTAGTCTCACCCTCTGAATCTGAGCTAACCTTGGCACTTGCCAGCACGAGCTGGAATGCAATGTAATATTCTATCCTAATCCTGACCCACATCCTCAGGGTCTTGCCACCTATTAGAATACAGACACTCCAGTAACAACAGGCTTGTCTGTCAAGGCAGAGAACAGCCATCCTGGACAGGACTGCCCAAGACCAGCCAGCCCTAGCTGACCTACTAATTGAGCCTGACATAGGCATATGGCCTAGGTCTGCCAAGGCCACTCGCAGCACCACTTCTTTGCGGACCTGTAGGCTTGTCGAAAGTGAGCACTCTAAACCATGTTTAGGGGTGATTTGTTACACAGCCATAGCTCACTGATACAACGTCTCAGCTAACCTCCAGATGTTCCTTTCCACATCTTCAGATATAAGAGGCTGGCCCTTGTCACTACAGATGCTAGGCTGTCTCTGTAGTTCCTGGGAGTGTAGCATTTCTGGATTTCTGTTGATGAGCATTCTAAGTCTCCCCTCCCACTGAGTTTCAAATTACAGAGGTAAGAGCATGCCTGCTCCCATTCACATCATGTCCTCAGCCTTCTACCAGATCAGCACACAGCTGGTGCACACCGGAGAGTTGCAGAACAAGGCTGGTATTTCTTTGCTCTGTTCTTGCTGTCCGTGCCCCCTCCACCCAGACTCAACTACAGGTTTCCGCCTACTATATTATCCTGGCCTCTGAGCTTTTGCCTGCTCTGTTCTCTCTGCCTGTTCTTCCCTCTCTCATACAGATCTAGGCATTTTTGTTTCTCAATAAAAGTAGCTTCCAGCCGGGTGATGGTGGCTCATGTCTTTAATCTCAGCACTAAAGAGACAGAGGTCCGAGGATCTCAGGACAGCCTGGTCTACAAAGCCAGGACTGCTGCACAAAGAAACCTTGTCTCGTAAACCAAACAACCCCCTCCCCCCCAAAAAAAGGGAAAGAAACAAAGAAACAAAAGTAGCTTCCTCACCCAGGAAGCCTTTCCTCTGTAGCTCATTAAGATCTTCTATCCAGGGATCTGACTCCATTTTGTGCCCAGGCTGCCCACCAGCTCACGGGACTAAAAGCCCCATGAGCTTTTTGGGACAAGGGATCCCAAGCATCCTCTTGGGATTACCTACCCTGTACACTTCCCCGAGAGTGAGGGTTCACTAGCTTTGCCCCTGGGGACTTTGTGTTGCACACAGGTCCCAGGGCATGTGGGACGGAGCTTTGGGACAAGTCTATCTGGTCCTGTCAGTGGGACCTGGGGTCTTAGCGGATTGCAAGAGGAATCCAGCAAGCTTTGTAGTACAGCTGGTGGGGAAAAGACTGACCATGAAGTCAGTCCTTACAAGAGAGGACCTCGGCCACCAGCCTCAGGCCTACACGAGGGCCAGTTCCCCACACAGCTGTGTTCTTCATAGGGCAGTGGCTTGTGCGCCAGACAGCTGTTCAGCGTTTTCTCCCCTCTCAGGTCCTCTAGGGACTTGAGGCCCTGTTTTCTTGCTCAAGAAGCATTTTCTCCTAAGAAGCAGTTAAAAAAAAAAAAAACAAAACCTTGGTACACCCCCTTCCAGTTATGGTGTTTTAGATAGGGCCTCATGCAGCCCCAAACTGGCCTTGAGCTTTAACTCTTGATCCCCCTGCCTCCACCTGTGAAGGAATCAGGCAAATGCCACTGCACCCAGCGAGCTTTCTCTAGGGGGCTCTCTTCCCATTACTCCTTGTCTGCTGCAAGGTGGAGTCGAGGACAAAGCCGACACTAGCTAGTGATGATGCGCTTGACTTGTTGGCCTGGTGCGGTTTAGAGAGAAGCTAGTCGGCGGGGTGCTCTGTCCGCATGGGGCGAGGCTCCGCTGGGCAGTGCGGTTAGAGCGCCGTGCTGAAACGATGATCGAATATCTTCTTGGAGTCTATCTCGGACTCCACCATGTGTGGGTGGATGTCCACATCCATCCCTGCGTCCTTGCACAGTTTGATCAAGGTCTTGATGTTGTTCTTGGACAAACGCAGGTACCTTCAAGAGAAGGTAGGGAGAGGTGACAAGGAGCCGTGGGACCCGACTTTCCCTAGAAATGGGTTGGCTTGGGGCTGGGTGTAGTGATGCACACCTTTAATCCCAGCGCTTAGGAGGCAGAGGCTGGCGGATCTCTGAGCTTGAGGCCAGCCTGGTCTACAGAGTGAGTTTTGGGAAAGACAGAGCTACACGGTGAGACCCTGTCTCAAGAAAGGGTGGGGGTACAGGTTGACTTCGGGCAGCAAGAGACCTCGGCCTGGCTCCCTGTGTGTGTCCCTGATAGAAGGGCACCCCCAGGTGGCAGAGGTGGCAGGAGCTCGTGGTATTGTAACTCTTGGGAGTCAACCTGCCTGGCATCACCCCGGTTATCTCCAGAGAAAACGGGCTAATTTTCATTGGTTCAAGCACTACACTCAGCATGTGGTCCATGGAAGTCAAGGAAGCTCTGGTGTGGAAAGACAGGTGTTCCTTTGGGGAATGAGGTCGTTTGTTCATCAACAGAGTGACAGTCAGGTAAAGAATGGGCCATCTCATTTGGAAGACATGATTAAAATGGCACCAGGAAGAAAGAGTCCATGGCTAATGTGGGGTGTGGGTGCACGTTAGTTTGGGTGGGACATGGTATGATCACTGCTGCAGGCAGGGGATCTAAGCCAAGGCTGGGGGCCTTGAGCATGCGTACACAGAGCTGCATGAACGGGCATGCGTGCCTCCCTCTGATCTACACGCAGTTAAACAAGACCATTGATTTAATGCTTTCTAAAGCTTTGTAATCCTGACTTCTGCTGAGGAGTGAAATTGATCCCATCTGTGCTGTGGGATCCAGATAGAAGTCCTGGTTCCACTGTCAACCTTGACCTCAGGGCCAACTTCATATTTAATCATTTATCTATCTATCTGTGTCGAGACAGACACTCATTATGTAGCCCAGGCAGCCTCAAACACACAATCCTCCTGTCTCAGCTCCTGAGTGCGGGGATAATGATGTGTGCTAATCTTCTGACTTCTTGGTACCGGTTTTAGTAGAAGTTGGATGCTACCAGCCACCTGCTGGCTGGTTATGGGTGACAGAGAGGAGCTGTCTTGCTATTAACGGGCATCCTGCTTTGCCTGTGCTTGGATTCTGCCCCTGGACTGCCTTTGCTTATGGCCTCAGTTCCCTGGACCCCAGGGCAGCCTGCCAGGGAGGTATGGGTGGGCTGGCATGTGACATCCTTAAGACCCCACTGCACCATCTCACCCTTGTGTTAGATGCCTCCCCAAGGACTTTATAGGTGTCACCTGCCCCAGTGTTCTTGATCTCTGGGGGAAAGAACTCCCACTGTGGAGTCAGAGCCAATCAGAGCCACATCATTACTTGTCCCTGCAAGGAGGGCAGTCATCAGGTGTTGCCTCTCATTGACTCCATCCCTGCTCTATCTCTTAGTCTCCAGGAGCAACGGGCAGCACACACCTGAGCCATGTGGCTGGCCTTTCACCCAAGATGGCTATATTGCTGCCAGCTTGTCGAGGGTGGCCCTGTTATCCTGTTACCTCAATTACTCCTCAGCTAAAGGTTTTTAAACTTTGCCTGTTATGCCAGTTAAGGATGACACCGGCCTTGGGTGTTTTCGGAGGGGAGACCTGGTGATACGGTATGGATGGAGAGCGAGCAAGAGATAGGTGAGGCTGTGTGGTGGAGCTTTGCCTAGCTTGTGAAAGCCCCTGGGTCCTATTCCAGCAGTGGAGAAGGAAGAGGGGAATACAGAAACCAAACAGTCTGTGGCCACCTTGGGAATCTAAATCCCTAACATAGCAGAAGGGCCCTGGAGACAGTGACACCATGAGAAATGTCCCCTGTAGGCTCTGGTGTTCGAATACTTGACCTTCCAGTGGATGGCACTGTTTGGAGAGGTTTATGAGGGAGGGGCCTCGGTGGAGGAGGAAGTGTGTCATTGGGGACGGGCTCTGAGACCTTAAAGCCTCACCGGACATGTAGTGTGCACCCCGCTTCTTGCTCGTGTTTGAAGGTATGAGCTCTCGACTTCTTATTCCTGTCACCAGGCCAGGCCTGCTGCTACTACTCGCTGATGGGCCTTCCTGTCACGACAGACTCGCATCCCTCTGGAACCATAAACCCAAATAGCCTCCTCTCACATAGGTTGCCTTGGTGGTGGCATTTACCAGAGCAGCAGAAGAGCAACCAGTGCAGATACTGTCACTCAGATTCACCAGAGTGAAGGGACTCAGGGTTTTAGTCTTGTAGCAATACTTTGCCAGCTAGAGCCAGGTAGGGACGAGCTGGTTCCCTCCGTGTTCAGAAATGCATTCACACACTGCTGACTTAGGCCTGCCCCCTCCATGTCTCAGTGTGGGTCTACCGCCAGATAGACCTAGGCCTGCCCTCGCCATGGTCAAGCATGCGCGCATTCACACACTGCTCTTCTAAGCCTGCCCATGCACCCCAGTGGCGCTCACCGGCAGCTCAGCACCTCCTCTGGCTTCAGCATCCTAGCTGTCTCCATCTTGGGCTCTGTGCCCTTCTCCATGAGGCTCTTCAGCTTGCGGTCGTAGGAGTCGGGAGCCTTGCTTGTCCAGTCTCTCAGGCCTACCCTCCGTGTGCCAAACATAGTTTCCTGAAGTACGGGATCTATGGAGCTTTGTCTACGGAACGGGTTGACCCGAGTGCTGGTTTCCAGGGCTATGACATCCTTGATGTCTAAGTCTGAAATCGGAAGATGCCGTCAGGGAGTTAGATTCTGGGAGAGATGAGAGTTGGGCAGGGTAGGGTAGTGGTAGTGGGAAAGAGGAAGCCAGAAGAGCGAATGGGCTCCTCGTAGCTGCTCTGCGACCTTGGCACGAGCTCCTGCAGGGCTGCACCTAATCCTAGTCCATCCTCCGCTCTCCCAGCCTTCCGGCCCGCCTTCCTGTCTGCCTTTCACCTTGCCCCTTGCTTTCATTCTTTTCTGTCTTCCCTCACCAGAGGAAGTTTATCCAATGGGAGCTAACCAGGAAGGGGAAGAAACCGGAAGAGGTGAGTGTTAAGCAGCAGCTTATGGGGTTGGGTCACGTTGCAGGTGGCGTGTCAGGCCGAGAACGGGGTACAGCTGCGTAGATCTAGGTAAGCGGGAATGTCTGACATGACCCAAACATGAAGCTAGAGGTGGGGCGCCTCCACTGTTCCTTGCTGGAGTCTGTGTGTTTTACAGAACCCTCAGATGTCACATCGTCTCCTCATCCCACTTCTAATTGGTGTGATCGATGCAGAGAGAATTCTATTGCTTCAAAAACACACCATCAATTAGAATGTCCTGAGTTTTGCAAATATTTTGGAAAAATCAAAATATCTTTCATTATTTATAAAAATTATGTATCCTTGGCACACTACATTTGACAGTCTAAAACAGTTAAGGATTACAGGCTGAAGGACATCCCATTTTGGTCTACACTTCAATTAAAATGACTTTAGCTTTCTATCACTATGAATGAGATTGGCCAGTTTCCTTTATTTTATAATTTTTCTTTTTTGTTTCATGATTTTTGAAACAAGGATTCTCTATCCAGTCCTGGCTGTCCTAGAACTCACTCTGTAGATCAGGTTGCCTTGAACTCACAGAGATCCGCCTGCCTCTGCCTCCCGAGTGCTGGGATTAAAGGTGTGCGCTACCACTGCCCAGTTTATTTTATAATTTTTATTAATAAGGTTGCTTCATTTTAGGTATGGCATTTTCATTTATTGAGACCATTTTGCGGCTTCTCCCTTACTTGGTTGCAGTGAGTGCTGGCCTGCAGGGTCCATTGCCCACTGGATGCAGCCTGCCCAGTCAATCAACAGAGGGCTAATGTTTACTTCAGACATGATGTGTTTTCATGGGTTAGGTGTATTTGCAAATACGTTTTTTTAAAAAGCATTTCTTGCATCTATATTACTGTAAGTTTGGTGTAGTGACTTTTGGTATAATGTTACTATAGAGTTGTGATGGTTTGTTAGGTTGATACAGAAATGTCCAGGTCCTTAATGCGTGAATGGCAGTGGGTTATCTGCTCTTTACCGGCCACTTACAACCTGTATCATACAGGCTGCGACCTTTATAACTTGGCAGATGCAATAAGTAAGTAAGTAAGTAGTAAGTAAATAAATAGAACAAACTTGTAAATAGACTTAGTACGTGGCCACACGAGTCTCTTTTCCACACGAATCAGGTTTGTTTGGTTTGTGACACTTTGTGTCACTTGTAACTCGCCTCTCATGGCGATTCTGTCTCCACTTGTTAAAGTGCAGAAACTTAAGTTATTGCTCTTACTGTTTGTTTTATGTAGTCTCTCTGTGCATGTGTTTTGCTTTGCCCAGAGGTTTTGGAATGAAATAGGCTTGTTTTCATTAGTTATTCAAGAGGTGGGTAATTTTTTTTAATGCATTTCTTTTTTTTTCTATTTTTTTCAAGACCAGGTTTCTCTGTGTAATAGCCCTGGCTGTCCTGGATCTCACTCTGTAGACCAGGCTGGCCTCAAACTCACAGAGATCTGCCTGCCTCTGCCTCTTGTGTGCTGGGATTAAGGGAATGCTCCGGAATGCTCCTGTCCAGTTTTCTTATGAATTTCTCTCTCTCCTTTTTTTTTTTAAAGTTGAAGAGTATCTTTTAACTTTATTTCTTATGATTGCTTTAGGATAAAATAGATGTTTCTAAAATCCTATGCTTTAGGGATCTGGGAGTTGACTCAGGGTTTTAAGCCCCATATTGCTCTTTCAGAGGACCCAAGTTCAGTTCCCAGCACCCATGTCTGGTGGCTCACAACCACCTGTAACTCCAGCTTCAGTGATCTCCTTCTGGCCTCTGAAGACACTGCACACGCATGCGCAAAACCACACTCATGTATATGTGCATATGTATAGCTTGAAAAAATAGAAACAAATCTTTAAAATAAATTCCTTATGCATTAGGGAAACTTTTTTGTTGTGAAGTTTATAGGTGGTGTTGACAAATATTGGCAATGTAAGATCTATGCGGTTTAAATGTTGGGTCTAGATCATCTCTAACTACATGACCGCATTCGTTAAAGCACTTCCTGTTAGAGCTCTTTATTTTGAAAGAGGAATGCTTAAAATTTCCTAAGGACTCATATTTTAGAAAAAAATTATTTTATGTGTATGAGTAAACACTGTCTGTCTGTCCACCTGATGCCCAGGGATGCCAGAAGAGGGCACCAGATCACCTGGAACTGGTGTTAGTTCTGAGCCACCACATGGGTGCTGGGAACCAAACCCACTCCTCTGCAAGAACAGCCAGGGAGGACTCTTAACCACTGATTCATCTCCCCAGCCCCATACTATATTTTAAAGGGTTCTCTTGGATTTTTCCATGGCTGCTTTCCCTATTTAGTTGCCCTTTCTGGTGCCCATGGCTGTGGGAGGTTCTTATTTATCCTTTACCATGTAAGAATATCTACCGCTACTTTCCTGTGCCTCCTTCTCCCTCGTTCTACCCCATCTCATTTGCATTTCCTTGTTATTTCCACCTTAGCCCTTGTTCTCAAGTTTTAAAGTCATTTGGTTTAAAGGATGCACCGAATTTTGCCTTTTGCCTGATTTGGTGGAGTTGCTTTCTTTGGTGGCATTTTCTGCAGACAGAGGCATACACACCTGTGCATCTTACACATCTTCAAACTTGCAGATGTCATCCAGTCACCCTGCTGTGATGCTGGTGTGTTTGGGACAGGTTTATGAGCTGTGAAATCTAAAGGATTCCAGCATAGCTTCCAATATCATGCCAGGTTGATTTTTTCCCCCCTTACAAGTAAACGTCTCTGTAAGCTTTCATGTTTTCATTAACACAGTTCAGGATGTGCTTATGGGAAATGGGTCCAGATTCCCTGTGAGGGGCAATGGACTTGCCTCAGATGGGGCTGTAGAACTTAGAACACTTCATGCTCCATATGGTGCTCTGGCCTGTGGCTGATCCCTGACAGGGTGGCTGGGTTGGGAGGTCTCAGAAGTGTCTGTCTATGCACGATGGGGTTGGTGCTATGCTCTACGGGGCCATGGTCTTAGTGTCCTCTTTGAAACTCAGAGACCTTAGAGTAAGAACATATACTTTCCTGCACTCTCTGATCCTCTTCCGGCTCCAAATGTGCCTACGGTGCAAACAACAGCAACAGTATTAAAGGTTATGGCAATTCAAGGGCTTTCTTGGGGCTGCTCTAGCTCTGCAACCACATCATATACATTCAGCCAGTGAGTAAGTTAGTTAAAGGTCATGTACCCAAGACCCCCACATCTAATGCGCGGTGACCCCAGGATGTTGGTACCTTTTCCTGGAAGCCTGTCCTGACCACTCTTCGAATAAAATGGTCCCCGCTTCTGGTACATAATGGAACAGATAACTTAGATTTTCCGCAGGCCACATTTGGGACTGCAGAGATGACTGTCTATCCATGTAGACAAAGGGTACATGTGTGCAGCCAACATTCTAAGTCTTTCCCATTAGAAATGCACCCTTGGCCTAAAGCCACAGAATACACACAGGCAGCCGGTGATTGGCCACCCAGAAGCCTCTTGCTAGTATTCAGACTTCTCCAGGTCTTTGTCATGGAATATGTTCTGTGCTTTCCTAGAATCTTTCATTGGCCTCTATCCAGGGTGACCATTCTAAAACTCAAATACAACTCAGTAAAGCACCTCATAGGCTTGCCATTATATTTTAGTCCATACATTTTTATTTGCAAATGTTCATTGCAATGAGTCATAGGTCTTATCTGAGGCCTCTGACTTCTGCTACACTATCAATACTGGTCCTCACTGGGACTCCACTTGGATATCCCATTGCTGCCCTGTGTCGTCGAGATTCTGTGACATTGGATCTTCAGGACTGACCCCTTCACATCCTCCAGCAGTTCATAGATGGGGTGGATGTTAGGGTAGGCCAGCTCAGCCCTGAATCTGGGCCTGGGTGGTAACTGAATTGGTCAGCGCACCAGCTCTCTCATATTCTCACTACCAGGGTGAACTCTCCAGCACTGCCCCGGATAGTGCACCCAATAGCAAGGTTGCCATTGTATTTCAAGCAGGCTTAAATTCTGGAAAAATCAATTGAGACTTTTGCCAAGAGTTGGATAATAGAAAGTGAGTGTTTGACTTCCAACACCATCAGAAACCTGGGCATTGTAAGAATTTGCATCATTAAGACAGCGAACAACAGGCAGCATAAAACGGGAGAAGAAACAAGAATGCTAAGCCCCGTGACTGCCCCATGTCGCGGCAGGTCCATCCTTCCAGGATAATAGGAGTGGGTCACGTAGGGGAAACTAGACAGTGACAGGAGATGGGTTCTACAGACTGCAGCAGCGTGTGGGAAAGCCCCTCAGCTCAGTGCTGATCAGCCATTGTGGGGAAGGAAGGGACGTGGTGATAGAAACGGTAGATCAGAACTGGGTGGTGGTGGTACACTCCTTTAATCCCAGCACTTGCAGGGCAGAAGGAGGTGGATCTCTGTGAGTTCAAGGCCAGTCTGATCTACAGAGCTAGTTCTAGGACAGCCAGAGCTACACAGAGAAACCCTGTTTTGAAAAACAGAAACAAAAAAAGAAATAGTAGATCAGGAAAAGACTGTATCTACATTTAGGAGAGGTAGTCTCATGTAGCCCAGGCCGGTCTTGATGCAATATAGAGGAGGAAGACCTTGAATTCCTGACCTTCCTACATCCACCTCCTAAGTGGTGGGATTACAGAAGTGTGACGTCATGCTTGGTTCTATGTGATGGTGCTGGGGACTGAACTTAAGACGCTGTGCGTGTTAGGCAAGCACTCTACTGGTTGAGCGGCATCCCCAGTTTAGAAATATCTATTTAAATGTACCATTGTGCTCACCAAGGCCTGAGCATGTTAGGGGAGACACAGAAGACTCAAAGTGATCCAGATTGAACTTCTAGAGATGAAAATATCAGTGTTTGAAATGAAAAATATATGAGATTAATAGAAGATTGAGCATTGCAGAAGAAAAGACTAGAACCTCAGGGGCATAGCCGCAGAGATTATACAGAATAACTCATGAAAAGAGAAGGTCAAAAGACGAAACTAGTGAGCCAAGGAACTTTATGTGTGATTGAGGGGTATCTGAAAGACAGAGAAAGGGTGGGAAACTAAATTAAAGAAATAATGGCTAAAATGTTGCAAATTTGTTATAAACTAGCAACCAAGAATGCCTACAAACCTCACACTCAAGTGTAAGAATTATGAAGCAAATGACGTCAGGCTCAGCACTGGGAAATCGCGCAGAGGAAGATCTTTAAAGAACGCCTAGGAGTGAGGTAGGTCCAGTTTCGGGGACAATAGTTTCTAGCCTCCGCTGGCCACCAGGAGTTCAGTGGGGCGGGAGCTGATGAAGACCTGGGAGAAGAAAGACCCGCAGCCAGGAGGGCACAAAGGTGAAATAAAGACCTCTTCAAACACGCAGAAGCTGCAGGAATTTACACTCTTCTTCAGATCCATTAAAAGTTTCCAGGAAAGGAAAATGACTGCAGTCAGAATTCTGGATTTATGCAAAGGAATGAACTCTTGGAATGCAGGAGAATGCATGCCTTGTTTAAATGTATTCAGAACAGAGCAAAACAAAACCAAAAACAAAACCCCAAATCCCAACAATGCATTGTGGGTTTGTAAGACACAGAGTACTCTGGTGCTGGCAAACGACGTGGAGGTAGTGGGGGCAGCACAGGAAAATGTGTTCTTGTAGGTTCCTTTATGCTGGCAGGAAGAGAACATGGCTGTGAGAAGTCAGGTGCATGTTCAGGCAAGACTCTGTTACCATCACAGTGCAAGGTTATAGTTGACAAACCGAGAAAGGTGGAACAGGAACAAAATCACCCATGGGGCAGGCAAAATGGGGGGCAGGAGTGGGCAGAATCCTCTAGAAACAAATACCAGAATAGTGGTTTGCAAACCCAGCCACGGCAGCGGTATTAGTGTGCTCACTTAATTTGACAATTCTTACAGCTCCGTTGAGGTATGACTGACAGATACTTTTGCTCATATTTAAAGTGGATATGTTGATTTGATGTACATATGAATCGAGATATGATAACAAAGTCATGTTAATATACCCCAAACCATGGTTACATTCCTCTGTGTAGGCAGTTAAGATCAACTCTCTTAGCAAATCTGAAGTATGTAATACTCTATTGTTTGCTACAGTGTAGCGACTTCAAGTATGTAATGCAGGGCTAACTACACTCACCATGAATACACTGTATTAGAGCCCAAGGGGAGGGGCACAGAGGTCTTTGTGCTCACGCAAGCATTAGGGGAGCCTGGAATGCCAAGCACTGAGGATTGTTCCTTCAATGGAAGGAATGCGAGACCTGTTATCCACCCAGAAGGCTGAAGTGGACTGCTCTCTAGCCTGGACCTTTGTTATATCTCTGTGACTGGAGACTTTTCCAGCACCGGATCCTCCCCAGACCCTTATCCTAAATTTCAGTCAATCTATAGAACCTATCTTTACTGGACCTTACAGAGTGTCCATGTAATCACGCCTGCTCTGTTTAGCTTACTTTGTTCTTCTAGGAGATTTACGTGTGCTTTGTTGCACATGTGGGACTGAGTTAATTTTCAGGAGAATAGTTTTCACCAAATTGTACTGTGCTTACGTATGTCTAAAATAAACCCTCAGGGTCAGACTCCTGAAGTTTGAACCGACACTGGCTACTGAGTTGTGTTGAACCAAACTGCCTTCTTGCCTCCCTCGGCTTGCCACTCTGCCATCCAGGAAGGTCTCAGAGACCATGACACCCAAAATCTTTATCCTGTACCGAACATGTGTACCTTTGACATGAATGTACCCTTTCGCCACTCCAGGCCCTTGGCAGGCACCATTCTCCTGCTTCTCGAAGCTCAAGCATTTAGATCTATACAGATGCAGGCTCTCACCATGTTTGTCTTTCTCCAACCTTTCTCTCAGCCCAAAGCCTTCTCAAGTCATTCGCATTGTTAATGACAGAAGTTACTTCTTTCTCATGCCCAACTAGCATTCCATTTCACGTACACATCTGATTACCTGTTTTTAGCATTTTTATTATTTATTTATTTATTTTTGCGTGTATGAATGTTTTGCCTGCACCTATATGTTTACCGCGTGTGTGCCTGGTACCTGTGGAGGTCAGAAGAGGGCATCGGATCCCCTGGAATTGGAGTTACAGATGGTTGTGAGCCAGCATGTGGATGCTGGGGATCAAACCTTGATCCTCTGCAAGAGTAGCCAGTGCTCTTAGCCACGGAACCATCTCTCCAGCCCCCTCATCTGACTTTTTTATCCACACACCCATCAGCACACACTTAGGCTGTTTCCACTTCTTGCCTGCTGTGGCTAGCGCTGCCTTGAAGGCGTGATGCCTGGCTGTGGATCATCAGTGGGGTAGGTGGACCAGAGGGCCATTTGCTTTTTTCATTTTTGAAAGGTAGCTTTATGTTTTCCAAAATTCTCTGCAAACTTACAGTCTCACCGACAGCAAGAAGTTCTCTTCTCTTCACACTCTTGCTCCAGCTGTTTTACTTGTCTTTTGATACTGGTCATTCTGTGAGGTTATGAGATGATATTCCCTGTGACTTTGGCTACTATATTATTTAAGGTTCTCTAGGGGACCAGAATTTATAGATTGGATCTCTCCATTTGTATATATCTCTCTATATATTACATACAATACCATGTATATTATATATAATATATTTTTATTATATGTATTACATCTCTCCCTATAATGTATATTTTTAGAAATAAAATTTATTCTAATAATATGCATGTTTACACAATATAACGTACAATATATAGATATGTTAGAATACATAGACATATATAATATGCATATTACATATTGAAGCACAGCTATATTATACATATAAAGGGGGTTTATTAGAATGACTTACAGGCTGTGGCCTAGCGTTTCTCTATCAACAGAAGTTCCAAAAATCCGGTAGTTATTCAGCCTGTGAGGCTGGATATCTCAGCGTGTCTTCAATATACTTAATCCTGAAAAAGTACGCTCTAGAGCCAATGAAGGAATGAACTTGCTTAGCAAGAGTTAGAGCCAACAGGCAAAGGTCAAAGGCTTTCTTCTTCCACGTCTCTCACACAGGCTGCTAG